TCACCTTCCCTCTCTCTCTTTTTCTCTCTCTCTGTGTCTCTCTCTGGCCAAATTAAAATAAAATGAATAAATAAAATTAAATAAATAATTCTTTAAAAAAAGGAAAATGAATTTATGAATTCCAAATATTTTCTATTAAACATGTATGCCAAAATATTTTTAACTAAAAATGATTACAGAATGCTATCCACCTGGGTTATAGATAACCAGTACACTTTTTCCTGAAGGGCTGCCTCTTCCCCGGGGGGGTGTTGGGGGAGAGTGATGGCCACACTACAATCCTCCTCCACATCTCTTTTCAGGATTTGGGCACACAGCCACATGTGCCAGTGTATTTTTTTTTTTTTAAGTTTTTGCCATAGGGTGCCTACACTCACCAGAGATGGACAGAGAGGGAAAGTGAGAAATCACCTGCCCAGGGGGATGGTCATGCTGCAGTCCCTTCTCTACCATTCTCCTCTTGGGATCTTGGGAATGCACGTACACATGCTCAGCATGATTTTCAAGACACCTGGTCAAAGACTCAAACCGTGGTTGGCCATGTAGGATCTAGCTGCAATAACCACACCACCAGCTGGCCCTGAAAATATTTAGTTTTCAAAGAAACTATTTGAGGTATATCCCTGGGACTAGATGGATTAATGACAGTGACCCTGACAGGGAAGAGTACAAGCCACGCAGTAAGATATGAACTACAAAAATAAACATGCAGCATTAATCCCATCACTGTCCACAGCATATGTTGGTTCAGCTGGATATCATTAAATTTTTGAAGAAAACAGTGAATTGGTTTTGATTTCCAAGGGAATAGAAACACACTGAATTTTTGCTGAAGGCTGATTCTTTGGTTATACAATCATAACATGATCTTTTTCCACATTAATAGTTAACAACCCAGCCACTCTACTTATGATAATAGCGTATGTGGAGGAAGAAATCAGTCACTATGACAGGAAGAACATTGGAGAGGACAGCGTGCAAAGGAAGTGGGAAGAAGAGACAGAACTGGATGACAGTGAAAGTCTCAGTGCCCCAGACTTTCAGCCAAGAAACTCTGGGAGTGGTTCTGAAAGGCAGATAAGCATCTACACAAAGCACATTTGAAATCGGTGAGGCAAATTTGGATCAGGAATGCGGAAGCTCCATCTTCTCAAGCTATATACTGAGCCCGGGTCCCAGATAGATCTCTTCAGGGCTGAGGATCACTAGATCCAATGAGTCACATGAAAACTTGAGAGCAGTTTAGCCTCATTGGAGCCATCATGTCACGGTGGAAGAAAGTATCTGAGCATAATTCGGATGACATCTCATGATTTTAAAGCAGCCACCACCAGATACAGTTCTCCAAGCTGAGGTCAAACTATAGTCCCACCGATGGATTATGGCCCTTCGCGTACCCATTGATCCATACCTTTAAAAAATTATAAATATTTTATAAAATCTGTTTTTCTGTCAACATAGAAGAACAGATTTGTCTAGAATTTATTTCAGATAATCCAGTGGTAAGAACTGAGGTATATAAAGTGAGTGAGAATAAGTGAAATAAAATTGGCCATGAATTGGGGTCAACAGGTGGCATGGTGGTTAAGGCACTGGACTCCTATATGGGCAAACCACGGTTTGAGTCCTGGACCCGGTGGTTTGAAAATCACATTAAGCACATGTACGTTCACGCCCAAAATTCCAAGAGGAGAATGGAGAAGGCACTGTGGCATGGCCATTCCAGCTGGGGGATGATTTTTCTCCCTCTCTCTGTCTCTCCAGTAAGCATGCATGCCCCTATAGCAAAAATCTCTCAAAAAAAAAAAAATTCTGAAAAACAAAAGCATATTAAAAAGACTACAGGAGGGAGGAAGGCAGGGAGAGCCTGTATTGTGTGCCTGCATGAGCACACACACACGTGCTAAGCGAGCAGGTGACTGTTGAGGAGAAAATTTCCCTGGCATTTTTCTTTCTCTTCCACAGCTATATAAAGGGGTCTTCAAAAGTTTATAGAAAATGCATATTATGAAAAAATTATGCAGAGATTTCAAAAATATTTTGCACCAAAATAAACTCACACTTTAATTTTAAAAAAAACTATAAATCTATGTTAATGGATATACTATATAAAAAGAGCAAAGTCAGGGAGGGCAGAAATGTGAAGGAGTAGACTTTCTGTACCCCACTGAAGTTATCAGTTTCAGTTAGTGCTGTAATTTTCAAATATTTTATGTCAAAACTGTCTATTTGTTGATCCTGATCTTTGTCTTTAACTATTTGAGCCTGAAGTTCAATCACATGTGGCTATATCCTAATAAAAAAAATATCCTACCACAACCGGCAGGTGGTGTGGTGATTAAGGGCGTTGGACTCCCGCACGGCTGACCACAGTTCAAGTTCCAGGCCTGGTAGCTTGCTTTCTCACTTTCTCACTCTCTCTCTCTTTCTCTGTCCTTCTCTGGTCAAATTAAAATAGGTAAATAAATAAATGAAGTTAAATAAAAAATTAATTCTTATAAAAAAAACCTACCACAAGAGTAAAGATGTAACTGAAATGCTTCATTAAAATCCTCTGACTATGTACATAAGATGCATGCTGAGTGCCAACTCAAATCGAGCTTGGGCTGGGTACTGAGATAGTACTCTAAGTAAGAATGAGATAGTATTCTAAGCAAGAATTCTTGCTCTTGCATCGTTCCAGGAGACATATACATAAACGCCAACCAAATTTATTTTACAGTATAATTTTATTTCAATACATGCAGTTTTAAGAGGTTCATAAATATCTGCCTATAAATAAATTAGAAAAATCTTTTTAAAAGTTTTAAAGTATTTTTCTCCCAAGAAAATGATGAAGGGGCCAGCAGATGACATGGAGGTTAACTGTGTAGTTGGAGTCCTCGACCTGGGCTTGCAAAACATGCCACTCACATGTGCAAGCGTGCCCAAAATCCCAAGAGAAGAATAGACAAGAAAAAAAGAGACTGTTGTGGCCATCCCCCTGGGGGGTGCTTTCTCATTCTCCACCCTTCTCCTCTCTCTGTCTCAGGCAAGTGCATGCAACCTATAACCAAAAAAGAAAGAAAGAGAGAGAGAGAGAAAAAAGAAAAAGAAAAAAAAAGGAAAATAAAAGAAAAAGAAGAGGAACTCGAGATCCTCAAATACAACTGTTTCTCAAGAAATGTTCAAATGTTTTATTCTAGAAAGCTTTTTGCAAACAGATACACTTTTTATTCTTTTTTTAAAGAAGAATAGAAGTATGTATAATGTGTACCCCTGACTAATGTCACTAACCTGGGGTAAAAGGCTCTGCATAAAGCTGAAATGGCTGAGGTTTCCTGGCAGCTCCTAAGGGCAGACCACACATTGATATCTATGCTCCTGGGTTACACAGTGGGGACATGAGGATGTGGTATTTTTGCACACAGACTCTATACTACTTTCTTTTTATATAAAGAATCATTTTATTTGTTATTATTATTCTTTAATTTGACCAGAGAGGGAGAGGAAAAGTGAGAGAGCAAGCCAGCAGGTCCAGAGCTTCAACCGTGGTCAGCCACATGGGAGTCCAGCGTCTTAACCACCATGCCACCTGCCAACCCCTCTCCATGCTACTTTTAAGAAAACACAAGAGGACAAGCTGATTATCCGGGATTGCCGTTTTTACGCAGAAGTCATCGGAATTTGCCATAGGTAAAGTGGCTATACTTTGAACTAGAAAAACTAGTCAAAGATCAGGTCTGCCAAGTACATATGCATTGGCAAGAACGAAGTCACATTTCTGACAACTCAGAATGTCTAACCCCTAAAACGGTCAACAGAACCAGCTCAGTGTTACCCACCTCTACCAGACTACAGAGACACAGGGCGGGAATGATCACAGTGGCAGCTAACGCCACCCTGTTAGCGCCTCATCTTGTACATGCAACCCTCATGACAACCCCATGAAGGATGTATCAGTATTGTTCCCCTTCTACACACAAGAGAACCGAAGCTCAGAGATGAAGTTTCTTACCCCAGGCCACATCATTACAAGCAGCCAAGTGGGGATTTGAAGAAAGGCAGCCAGGTCTCAAGCCTGTGCCTTAAACACCGTGCCTTTCATAATAGGGCTGACACCAGAAGATCCTAAAACACGTGCAGAGCCATCTAAAAACCACTAAGCTGTGCCGAAATAAAATATTAATATCCGAGTATGCATTATTGGATTCAAATTCTCAGAAAACTGGATCATCAAAATTCAACACTTTCAGAACCAGTAGGTGGTATGGTGGTTAAGTCATCAGACTCCCACATGGCTGACCACAGTTCGAGTCCTGGACCTGGCAGGTTACGCTCTCACTTTTCCTCTCTGTCTCTCTAGTCAAACTAAAAAAATAATAATATTAAATTAAATTAAATACTTCTAAAATTAGCATAGTCATTAATATTAAAAAATAATTATTTCAAAAAAAATCCTAACATTAAAAAAAAATCAACACTTCCAAGATACTCAATTCCCCATTCCCCACCACTCTGAAAATAAGAGTTTTCCTCATACTGAGACTTCCTTTGTATCTTTATGTCACTTTCATTTCTGTGCATTCCAAATGTTCCACAGGCATCCCAGAGAGAAATGAAATTAGGCAGGAAAAAAAAAAGACCGATGGTATTTTAGGAGAACAAAAAGCGAGGTCTACTTGCTACGTTAAATACCACGTGAGAATAATAAATGATGGGTCACTGAAAATTGGAAACTGAGGAGTTACTAAAATAAAATCTTAACCATTTTTCTTAACCAAACAAAAATTTTCACAGTTTATCATTTCGTATAAAATTTCTTTTTCACCTATATATATATATTTTTTTTTTTTTTTTCTTTTTGGACCCTCTTCAAGATTTCAAAGATGCATATTCCAAAAGTCTCTTCAAAATAACCTGTCTGGTCAGGAGTTTCCTCTTCCCTTAGAACAATTTTTACAAAATCCAAACTGAACTGCACGAATAACTCAACTCCAGGGGCGGTTGCATCTACTTACCGTGCTGTCGCTCGTGACACGAAGGACAAGAGTATGGCAGGGACCCAGGAGAGCCGTCAGAGCGGCCCACAGTCCACATCTGTGGGCATGGCTCATCCCCCACAGGGCACCCGCGTGTCCGTGCTGAACTTTACAGTGAAAGGTTTAAAGGCCTTCATCCCCTTTGGATGCAGAAAGCACATACGATTTGATTACGAGACGATTGTCACTTAGGTGGGAGAGGTCTTCTCAAACCAACTTTCCTTTCCCCTAGGGAAAACTGGAGTTCTTCACACGCATTTTCTTGATGTTTAAGGTTATTTAGGCGCTTCATTTCATACTCCCTTTCAAGTTCGATGGCTGAAAAATAAAAGACATGAAGCAATCTGGCTGACATTTTTCACCAGGCATGGTATACCAAAATTCACCTTCTTGAATAATGAACTTAATAGGACCAGCAGGTGGTGTGGTGGTTAAGGTGCTGATCAGTCCCATATGGCTGACCATGGTTCGAGTCCCGGACCTGGAAACTTGTTTTCTTACTTTTCCTTTCTTCCTCTGGTCAAATTAAAATAAGATGAAAGAGGGACCAGCAGTTGCCATAATGGTTATGTTGCTGGACTCCCATGTAGTTGACCATGGTTCGAGTCCTGGACCCGGTGGCTTAAACTCACACCAGGCACATGTTTGTGCATCCCAAGATCCCAAGAGGAGAATGGAGAAGAGATTGTGACGTGGCCATCCCCCTGTGGGGTGATTTCTTACTTTCTGTCTCTGTTTCTCTCTGTCTTTCTGGCAAGGGCACGTGACCTATAGCAAAAACCTCTCCCAAAATAAGTAAATAAATAAATAAATAAGGTGAATGAATAAATAAAATAATTTTTTGAGAGGTTTTTGCTATAGGGCACGTGCGCTTGCCAGAAAGACAGAGACAGAGACAGAAAGTGAGAAATCATCGATAACAGGGCCCAAAGAAAGGAGGTGTGGGTATGGATAAGCATATTTAAGCCTTTCTCTGATAAGAAGCAAACAACACACACAATTTAAATAAATAAATAAAGTTAAATAAAATAATTCTTTTTAAAAAATGGGGGGGGGGACAGGTGGCATGGCATGGTGGTTAAGGATGATGGACTCCCACATGGCTGACTGCAGTTCAAGCCCCGGACTTGGCA